TTACGTAAGTGTATTAGTCTGTTAGTCATGCGTTTTATCACAAAACAAGGTTAAGTAACGTCGGTAAATGTTTATTTAGTGTATCTTAGGAGAATGTAATTTTGCGGTACGCAGATACGCACTTTTCTCTAATCTCATTTGTACTCACCAGATACACAGTATTGCATTACATTTTGTTACTTAAATATTTATTTTAAATTTAAATGAGAAGATAACAGATAGTCTTTTTTGCTAGAAGAATTGACAAAATTATGAGCATGTTAAAATCGCCAGTTATAGAAAATATTTCGTCAAATCCCCAGGAATAATAAATCTGAATCCAAGCAAATGATGTATACCAGTTCTCCAATTCCATCATCTAGTGAATGTGATCAGCTTGTTACATTGCTTCCGCATGATATATCTCAAAATAATGTCACAGTCTCAACAGTTGATGCAAACAATTTTTCTATTGATAACCTTGTACATCATGCTAAGGAAATGGAAGACATTTTGATCACGTTGGCACCTCAAACAAATGTAGAAGATACAGCCACATTCAGAATACGAACATGTTCCGGAGCAGCTACGCAACTGCTACCGTAACGTCACTGAATGTACCGCTACTTTGTCAACATGTAGCGCTTTTGAAATCCGCTTTATTTACTCAACGTTCGCTCAATGTGTTAAAAATGGAGGGTTTCAGTGCGGTTTTTGATCATAATTACGTCGATAATGAAGTTTATGTTGTGGAATGTGTTGATGAAACTCAACTAAATTCTGGCAACGAATATTTAATTGGTGTGTAATTTGCTTCTACGCTTTAATGAAATTGGTCATAACCTTAAAATGTTAATGTTAACAAATAATTTAAATTCTACGTGAAAAGTTACATTTAATCACTTTATTATTATAGGGAAGGCGACTACTAGTTCAAAACCAGATTGTGAGGGGATTCCTGATTGTGTGTGCTGAGAACAGTTCAATTGTGGGTATGTAGTATACTTATTTTATAATAAAGCTCCGTAATTTACTTACACAGTTATGCTACATTCATTTGGACACAGAGTTTGAGAAAAAAAGGTCATAACGTCAGTGAAGAAATTTTAGATAGAAAATGGAGGAATCTGAAGAAGACGTACACCACTGTAAAAGACAACATAACAAAAACTGGACGAGGGAGGATCTCTTGGGAACATTTTGATGACTAACGATATCTACATGAGTGATATCATCAATTTGTTCATATGTCACCTACGAGGTGGTTGGCTAGATATAATGTGGTGAATACTTTGCTAGAACATTGGCTTGAGTTAAAGACACATTTCAACTTAGTCATTAAATCTGAGAAATGTTATAAAGCTAGGTTAATGAATGAAATGCTCCATGATGATACGAACTTGTTATACTTAAAAATTGTTAAACCCATATTGTATGAAATTAATCTTATAAAATATGATAGATGATTTCCGCGATTTCTTCTTGCTTCCTGTGTCCATAATACGACATGAACTTGAATCTAACTGTCAAAAGGACACTGTTATTAACATGTGTACTGCTTTAGAAAAAATGTTTGAAAATTTAAACTCAGAACATATGCGTTTTAAATTTTTAGAAGAAACTGGAAAATTTATAAAACCACAAGAAGTCGTAGTCGGTCAACATATGCAACTGAATTCCCAAGAAATTATGCGATAAAAAAACTTAACATATCAGTTTGTCTCAATGCGTAGTATGTTAAAAAATTTTTTTGAATTGAATGGTGTTTATAATTCGTGTTTAAATAATTTTAACAGCTTTTGTTCTTCTCACGCCGTTTTATCTAACGTGGTGTAAGGAGAACTTTGGAAATCAAAAACATTGAATAATAATAAAATTATTCTTCTTTTGTTAGTATATTTTGATGAATTTGAAGTTGGAAACGCACTTGGTTCTCATTCCGGTATCCATAAATTAGGGGCTGTATACTATAGTATTCCAATAGTTCCATTCAAATACCAATCAGAGTTGACTAATGTATTCTTAGCTATGCTCTTTCATTCAACGGATTTAAGTAAATTTGGATCAAAAGTAATATTTTCTAAGCTTGTTGAAGAAATAATTTTTTTAGAGAATAACGGAATAACAATTCCCATAAACGGTTTGGAAATCAATATATTTTTTAAGTTATTAATTCAAGGAGACAATCTCGGTTTAAATACCATTCTTGGATTTTCACAAAGTTTTAGTTCTAACTACTTTTGTCGTTTTTGCAGGTAATCATAATTTCCTGTATAAAAATTGATAAAGTTATATTTACAAAAAACAATGTTTCGAATTATGCATACAGGGTATTGATTGAAAAACCGGAACCAACGCGTTCAATTATTTTAATTTTTTGTGTGATTCCATGTGTTTGAGAGTTCGAGTTATGCAGGCTATTGATTATTCTTTTTAAACAATATAAAATAAAAAATGAAGTTTCACTAAAAAAGTAAGTTTATTTAAACTGCAAAAGGCCGAGTATAAAATATATTTTAAATACGTGTTTACGATACTATAACGTTTGTGAAATACTAAATACAGTTGCATTTTAAGTACTTGATTGATTTGGAATACAGTAATTCAAATACCGTATTTATAATACAAATGTATTTTAAATGCTATATTTCAATTACAAATATTTCATATACTACCTTTTTATAGCCTATACAATATGACTGAATAGGTACAACAAGACTGTATTATATTGATAACTATATCTCATTGTTGCAAATATAATATTATGATTTTTAAACTTATAGTTTTATATATTCGAAACCAATATGTCTGTATATTAGGGTTCTTACTACAGCTATATACAGATTATCAAATTTAATACTTGTTATATTAAAAACTATGATACAGTTTTATAGCCAATACAATATGGCAATATAAGTACAACAAAACTGTATTATATTGATTATTATACCTTATTGTTGAAAATATATCATGATTTTTGAACTTATAATTTTATATATTCGAAACCAATATGTGTGTATATTATTTGCAATAATCTAAGTTATTTCATTTCATTTTCATTTATTATTATTTACCACGTTACATATCTGGTAAATGTGTTTGTGGCACGTCAAGCATAATATATAAAAGTAACATACAACATAAATATACATTATACGATACAATGATTTTACATTTAACATATACACAAATAATATTTTAGGTAGATACTTATTAATACAAAGCGGAGATGTTAATTCAACTACTCCCGTATTACAAAAGCATGCATATGAGATGGTTGCCGTTACATACAGTTTTTTTTGTATGAGTTAAAACAGTATGAAGTAAAACTAGCTATACACTTGCAACAATATGTATATGATAAATTTTATAATTCTTTATAGCTGTCCCTATACGTATTATATTTTTTGATAGCTATTATTATATTTTTAGTTACCTTTAACATACATTTTTCTCCGTGTATATAAAAACCCTTCGTGTTTTGCCTGCGTTATCATTATTCGTTCAGCATAGCAGTCATAGTTGTGTCACAGTTAACTTTTACGTTGTGTGGTATTCTTTTTGATTGTTTGATTTTCTAACGCGTTGCAGTGCAATGCAATGAGTGAGAAAAAATCGGGCCATGTTTGTGCAGTGCGAAACTGTTATATTAAAGGGTATAACTCGAAGAAGAGATTCTATCGTTTTCCGAAGGATCCTAATCGGTAAGTAATACAATTTATAATTTTTATTTATTAAGCGACAGAGTAAAGCGATGCAAGGTCGAAGGCGATCGCTCGTCTGTTCGTCCGTGAACACGATAACTGCCAAACGCTTCGGTTCAAACTTTGCACAGTTGACCTATATACCACATGTAACAAGACCATTGAAAATTGGTCAAATCCAAAGACCCTGTAGGGTGGAACACCGATAACATGCTTTGCCGCTTTAGAGGTTTATTTTTATTCACGTTTTTTTCTTCTATTTTTACAGAGCTAGGAAAAACTATCCGACCTATATAAAAGCTTCCGCGGCCATGCGAAAACCACTTTGGGGAAAGAATGTTTACAAGTCATCTTCATACACGATTGTTGCCTACTGCATTACCAACTCTATTTCCGTCTCTTGAAGGTACTTCTGGAAGTCCGGATGACCATCATCATCAGAAACTGTATCTATGGTAGGTATTTATTGTATTAGTGTAGGTACACATACAAACTATCCGGGACCATAATCATGATTTCACTGGGTAATAGCAGCGTGTCAGCACAGCTTGATAGTAAGTAAGTAAGCTGTGGTGTCACTGCGTAAAATTATTTGACGTTTACAGTGGGTAAAAGATGGGGTAAATTATTATTTACATTTGACAGTAAATCGCTGAAAATGCCAATCTATTGCCATACAAAATTATGATAGTTATTGAAAGATTTAAAACGATTTATTTTTGAAGCCGACCCGACCAGTACCTACAGTTGACACCCAGTCCGAAACCGTGGTTCAAATTGAGAACAATCCTATGGATGTAACTAGTCCTGATGTCTCCAACATTTAGCCAAATATCGGTCCTTTTAAGTTCAGATACTCCAAGGAAGAAAAAGTACAGGAAGAACATAAAGTCCTTAAACGCGGAAAACAAATATTTGCGACAGAAAGTTCAGGTACTTGAAAATCAATTAGAGAATAAATTAGATAATATATCTCTCGACCAATATATGTCTCTGACATTGAAATTTTACAATTCGGTAGACACTGCTAAGTTTATTAACCTTCGAGCGGGCGCGCTATCGTAAATTTTACAATTGTGTAAACATGGGATTAAAAACGTGCCTATGCAGCATATTCCATGCCCACCCCCTTCATCAAAGACATAGTTATGATGATGTAAACACTATTTTGAACTAGGGGCGACTTATTTAAGTAGTGTTTGTGAAGTCTTCAATGTGATCAGACGTCTGTCGTAAAGGTTACAATGCGCGCCTGTTGATGTAAATTGTAAGTATTGCGTAATTTTTACCCTTTTTATTTGTAATTAGGGCATTTTGTGTCATTCTAGTCTAATGCACATACTAATTTTATTTTTGATTTCTACTAGAATCACAATGAATTCCAATGCGCCCCTCACTCAAAATGAACTCGAACAAATTGTACGAAAAATGTTTGAAGAACCAAAAAGTGAGGATGAAGACTTTGATGAAGATAATCCAAGTAGTGACGAAAATATTGACCCAATGACACATTCGGATAGTGACTGGAGCAAGGCGCTTCAGACGGTGATTCAGAGACAGAAAATTCTACAGACAATTGTTACACCGGAAAAGACCGTATAACCAAATGGCGAACATCGAGCTACGGTAAGTGTTCAAAAACCAAAAAAATTTATATTGTCAAAGAGCCTGCGGGTCTAAAAGCATGTGCCAAAGATATAGTCAACGAAATTGACGCATTTTTCAAAATCATCAGCCTTTCCATGATGGCAAGCTTCAGTCTCGGCGAGTATGTCGTTATTGACGAAATGTTATATCCCTTTAGGGGCCGATGCAGGTGGATTCAATATATTCCCAGCAAACCTGCTAAATATGGAATAAAGATGTACGCCTTGTGCGATGCTAAATTTTTGTATACCTCCAATCTTGAATTTTATTGCGGTCGGCAACCCGAGGGGCCTTTCGTTTCATTAAACTCTCCTTTTGACGTCGTCAAACGGCTTGTTGCACCAATAGCAAATTCCAACAGAAATTTGACAACCGATAATTATTATACAAGTGTTCCCCTCTCGAACTATTTACTCGAACAAAATGTTACGTCCATAGGAACTATGAAGAAGAACAAAAAGAAGATTCCTCCAAAGTTCTTGCCAAATAAACATCGAGCAGTTCAGTCAACTTTATTTGGATTCCAAGAAAACAAAATGATTACTTCCCACGTTCCTAAAAAAAATAAAGGTGTACTCCTTCTCTCAACTTTATACAATGCAGATGAAATTGATCCCACTACCAATAAGCCTCAAGTAATCATGGACTACAATGCAACAAAAGGTGGCGTCGACACTGTAGACAAAATGTGTGCCTCGTATTCGGTGTCTCGAATCACAAGAAGATGCCCTTGCGTTATTTTTTACAGTTTCATGAATATCGCTGAAATAAATGCACACGTTCTACATTCGTTTGCCAAACCAAGGGATTCGCCAAAGTTTCGGGGAATATTTTTGAAAAATATGGCTTTGACTCTTATGAAGGAACACCTGATTTTCAGAGCAAGTCTCCCCATGCTACCCTCCGATATACGTGCATTCCTAAATTCAAACTATGGACCACCTGCAGAAAAAATACACGAAGAACGGCAAGCGCCAAAACGTGGCACATGTCGTTCATGTGTGGCAGAGAAGAAACGAACATCAGCCTCTATAAAATGCCACCGTTGCAATGGATTTACATGTAAACGTCACTCCAAGACTGCGGTTGTATGCAATCAGTGCCAGAAAGAAGATGATTCCCAATCACATTAAAGGTGATTTTAGTTACGTAGTTTTTGATTTTGATTTTTCTTTTTTGGATGGGTAATAGTAAAAGAAATGATTGTTATAATGAATACAGTAGGCATAATAATATGTGTTGCGTCCCCAAACTAGAATAAAATATCCGAGCCATGAGCCGCAGAAGCGCAATTTGTGTACTCGTCGCACAGTATTCGTCCCATTTTTCGCCGAGAAGCAATCGACTCAACAACGTTGAGAATTCGCCGTTCCATCAATGGCCGAATTAGCCTTCGTCGTTCGTATATAGATCTCGATCGATCCACAACAAGTCAAGATGTCGCCGTGCAGTTCGTAACATCATTGTTAACAAGCAGAACGTCAAAGCACCGCACATAAGAAGATTTCGTTGTAACAACATCGACAAATTCGACACTTCGTAGAAAAGAGCAATCTTCGCCATTGCAACATCGTCTTCGTTGTTAATGGACTTTGAAACAAACGTAAGTTCCTTTGTTTGCATTATCCCTTCGTAACTTTACCATATTCTAGTAGCCGTCGTGCCTACGTCAACCATATTCAATAGAAATTCATTTACTTTGTATTTTTGATAATAAACGCGTTTATTTATGTGTCTATATTCTTTCATTCCCAGCATAAACAAGGCCTTGGAAGTAATTCATAATTACAGTCCACTTACAATCAAATTCTTTGTTATCGAAGCCCCCTTGTACGGTACAGTATGTAAGATAATATTTTAGGATTCGTATTTTTATTATGTATGTTTACTATCAATAAAATATCATCAAATATGCTTGTACGAAACGCGCCCGCTCGTGATATAAAACTTGGCGCGCCTGCTCAAAGGCTAATATGCAAGTAGCACAAGCGAATAAAAAAGCAAAGGGAATACGTTATAATAAAGATTGCAAAATTGCATGCTTGTCAATATATTTTTCGGGTCTCCGCGTTTTTAAAAAATATTTAATGCATAAATATTTTCTTCCCTCGCCAAACACATTGCTAAAGGACATTGGAGCAGTTGAAATAGGACCAGGATTAGAAAACCCCGAATTTTATGAAATATTAAAAACAAAGCTTGACAGTTTTCAAGAACAAAACAAATATTGCCTGTTATGTTTCGACGAAATGTCAATCAAAGCTATCTCCATTTTCTAGTTCTGCTTTTATGAATAAAGAATGTATAAAAGAACCACGAATATTTTTTATTGTTTATATATTGTTTATATATATATATATATATATATATATATATATATATATATACTATAAACCGAAATCGATCGCTTAAGAAAAATACATTCTTTATTCACAAAGCTAATTTTTTTTTTTTTTTAATATATATTTATTGGGAGGTACCTCGACTACCAAGGTCATTGGCACCTATAATATTACAGACACACTATCACATTATATATTTTTAAATAGGTTTATTTGTTGTAGGTATTTACTGATGTTCTCGATGGCGGTCCTTCCGGATTAAGCGCCTGTTGTAGTGTTCCTGGGAGGTTGTATGTCTGTCTAGCTACTTCATATTTCTTGCAATCGATTATTAGGTGTTGAAACTCGTGTCTAGAGATACCAATTCTACTTTGGCTTTGGAGCTTCCGCATGCGCAATCAGTTGCTGTGTCCGTTTTACTGCAGGTACGGTTATTTGTAAGTTGTTTAACCGAGTAAACGTTAAAAATTTGATTGAGCGGTTGCGTGTACACTACCTGTTTTCATTGTAAACTATTGTTGGAAATGGTTGCGGTTTGTGAAATATGCAAAGTCACATTTAGCAAACAAAGTAATTTAAGGGCGCATGTAAAAAAGTTCCATCCTGGTAAGTAGTCTTGCTTTATTTTACTTTAGCTGACAGTAGTATAGGTACGTTACTTTACATTTTGACTTTCCATTCCATATTAGACGTCTATTTAATATTTATCTGTCTGAAACTTATTTTCAGATCAATTAACTAAATTAGCACCATACAAAACGTACAAATCAGCCGCAGTTTGCAATGGATGCGAGAAAAGTTTTGTGAAGTACTCAAATTTGGTACAACATGTAAAGCGATTCCATCCAGGTATTTTATGGCTAATTTTTTTTCTTTAACCTACTACCTTTGTGATTATATAAAAATAACTGAATTAACTGTACTTCTAACTATTACAGATAGAGAAGCAGAGTTGACGAAAGCCAAGAAGTATACACATGAGTGCGATAAGTGTAAAAAACATTTTAGTCATTTGAAAAATTTAAACAGTCACAACAAAGGTCATCACTCAGAAAGTAGTTCTAGCAGACGAAAATCTTTAAAATGCAGTATTTGCGGGTTCTCAGACTATTTCAGACACCAGTTATATCAACATTTTCAAAATATTCATGTTATATCCATTAGCACCAAATCCATGGAATTTGCTAACATGGACGCCTTCACATTTTGGAAAGTACAAGAAGAAAAAGCAACTTGTTCTCTTTTTATAAGTGAACATGGGTGGTACAGTACTGAGAAAAATAAAATTTTAAAATATGTTTGTCATCGATCTGGATATTATAAACGAAAAGGAAAGGGAATAAGGCATATAAAAACACAAGGGACAAAAAAAATAGATGGGTTTTGTCCTGCTGGAATAAAACTCACCGTATGTCATGTATCAGGAACTTGCTTTGTAGAATACACCAGCACGCATGCAGGACACACATCAGATAATCTAAGGCACTTGACTTTAACAACAAAGGAAAGAGAGAATTTTGCTCTGAAAATAGCATCAAAAATTCCATTCCAGGTAATTTTGGATGAAGTTAGAGATTCTATTTGCAATTCAGAACTGGATCGAACTCATCTTTTAACGAAAAAGGATTTGCATAATATACAGCAAACTTTGAATTTGAACAATGAAGCTATAAGACATACAAATGATGCCGTCAGCATAGAATCGTGGGTCAAAGAGGTCGAGAGTAGTGGATGTGTGTTGTTTTATAAACCTCAGGATATTTCCTTATTGGAACATCAAAATTTGAAAAAAGAAGATTTCATTTTGATTATTATGAATATGGGCCAACTAGAAATAAGTACTTGAAAAGTTTGCTGATGATTGCATATGCTTAGATGGCACTCATGGCCTCAATCCTTATGACTTTCAGCTGCACACACTCCTAGTTCTGGATGATTTACGAGAAGGGTTCCCTTGCGCATTTTTGTTTAGCAATCGATCAGATGTGGAGATTTTGGTTTTATTTTTTTCATGTATTAAAGAGAAAATGAAGAGACAAATAAAACCACGAGTCTTTATGTCAGACATGGAAAAAACATTCTATAATGCATGGATACGTGTTATGAAACCTGCAGATTTTAGGTATTTAAGGTTTACATTACAGTGTATAATTATAAACATTTATTTCTTTTTGTTTTACAGAATTTACTGCACATGGCATGTAGACCGCTCTTGGCGTAAGAATCTAAACAAAATTCATTCCAAAGAAAAACAGGTAAGTACCTAACTATGTATAAGTATAAATAATTTTCTATTTCGGTGTCACAATGATGATTTTGTACAACTGTTTTCGGCCGAAAACAGTTGTACAAAGACAGTGATTATAGTCGTTTTTTTTTGGTAACTCATCTCTTAAGTTGGCAGTTACTAGTTAGTACAAGGAGGTATTTCGTTGGGTACTTCCATGTTTGAACTTCAAAATGCCAGTCTTACTACGCTGCCAACCTAAAACTTAACGGCATAAAAAGTGTTCCCAACATAAAACATGTTAGTTCTAATGTTCCCTATAGTTTCTGATAATGATTTTTTTTAATTAAATTAAAGCACCGAAATAGAAAAAATAGTATGAAAAACGCGTGTTACAATGCTTTATTGTAATACTCCTATCTTGCGGACACTCGTGGCTACGCTTCGCGTCGCCACTCGTGCCACAAGATAGTCGTATTACAATAGGTCGCATTGTAACACTTGTCTTTCAATATACTATTGTTATTCACCTCAGGTTATGGTCTACAAACAACTTAGGACAATTCTGCAAGAACTAGACCAAAATGCGTTCACCCAAATGATAGACAATTTTTTAAGAGCGTTAGTAAATGATGCAGACACATGCGAATTTGGTCAGTACTTCAAAAGGTATTATACCGAAAATGTCGAAGCTTGGGCATATTGCCATCGCTTGCATAGCGGACTAAACACAAATATGCATATCGAGCGGATGCACGAGACTATTAAATATATTTATTTAAATGGAAAGGTAGTCAAGAGGCTTGATAAAGCTATAAATGCCCTGATGAAGTTCGTGCGAGACAAATTATTTGAAAGACTGATTACTTTAAATAAAGGCAAAATTTCCAGTAAACTTAAGGATTTACGAGCTAGGCACAAAACGAGTGAAGGCATGGATCTAAAGCTGGTAATGGTGACAGAGGAGGGGTGGGAGGTACCTTCAGCTTTATGTCAAGATTTGTATAAAGTGGAAGCGAGAAAAATTAACTGTACTTGCAAATTGGTGTGTCAACAATGCCATGCATGCATTCACCAATATTCCTGCTCGTGCATAGATTCCTCTGTTAAGTGGAATATGTGCAAACATGTACACCTAGTCTGCAGATTCCTTAATGACAGAAAAGAGCTCGAAGTCGGAAATATTACACAAGGGCCAGGTAAATTAGCACACATCTAAGACATCTTGTGATATTGAAATGTTTATAGTTCCAAATGCCAGTATTCTTCAAATTGATGACGGTATTTCCAGTAAAGTAGAGGAAGAGCAGAAAATACTTGCCGCTATTTCGCAAAATACATCAATTTCAGAAGAAAATCTCTATGACGAAAAAGAGAAATTAAAAATGGAGGTAATGGAACTAATCCATGATATCGACAAAATTTCAACAAGAGAGGAAATATCTGCTCTGAAGAAACTAGTGGGCCCAATCAAGCCAACATTACATGCAATACGGTTGCAACAAAGTCGTGATCTTCAACATTCAATGGGAGCAAGCTCCAAAGTACACCACAACAAAAACATTAAACAGCAGAGACGGCTTTTTAAAACGAAGAAAAAGACCAAGAAGGAAACTGTGGGTTTATCAAATCCAGGTACAGAAGAGATCAATCAAATAGCAATAAATCTGTTACAACTCAGTTGAACTTAACGTTAAATTACAATAAAGTTTTTATTTTCATTGCTTACACTCTTCTTCTGTTGCTTGTTCTGATTTGTAGGATAGGAGTTTTATTCATTTCTAGTTATTACCACACACTCGCACACTGTCAGCTCATTGACCGGCCGGATATCGTATTCGTGCAAAGCAAATACCTACAGCATGATTTTTTTTTCAGTTAAACGCGATTTCGGTTAGATAATACAGTTTCGGTTCGGTAGGTTCGGTTTTTACTTCATTTCCAGTCAGTTGAAATCACTGAGGAGCTTGTGGAAAGCGAGACGATTAATTCAAACCAGGGAAGTCTTCATTGTTTGTTTAAAATCGTCTTATATATTTCTAACCTCGCCAGATTGGGACTGGACAGAATTTGAATGTTCAGCCTTGGAACGATGTAATAATCAATAAAATAAATTCCAATACTACAAATTAACCGTATATAACAATTGAAATGACCGCGGAAGCTCATTGCGCATGCGGAAGCTCGAAAGCCAAAGTAGAATTGGTATCTCTAGACACGAAGTGGTGTTGAACAGTTAATTCCGTGTTGCATTCGTCACATATAGGTGGTAATAATTTCTTCATTAAATAGTTGTGCGTTATAGCCGTGTGTCCTAGCCGCAGTCTTGTGGTCGCTACCTGGCATTTTCTGTTGGATGTTTGTTGAGTGGTCCACTTCTTTATGTTTGGTTTTATTGTTTTTAGTTTTTGTGTTATGAGGGACTATGCGTTTTGCCATTTGTCTAGAATTTGCGTTTTTTGGATGTTTTGTAGGTCTGGTATAGTACATTCTGTTATGATTTGATGTGGATTTATGACAGCTTCCCTTGCCCGTTGATCCGCTTTTTCATTTCCGGTTATTCCTTTGTGCGATGGAACCCATATAATCGTTGTTATATAGTTGTCCAGTTGTCTCTCAGTTATTATTGTTTGTATGTCTTGGACGATGGGGTTGTCAGAATATAGTTTTTGTATGGATTGTATTGATGATAGCGAGTCGGTGATTATGGTTATACTTTCAATGTTTTGCATTTGGGATTGGACGAGTGCAGTTTTTATAGCTTTCAGTTCTCCAGTGTAAACCGATGCTTCGTTAATTTTGTATAATATCTCTTGATCCGGCAGAATAATTGCTACTCCTACCTCGTTTTTTAATTTGGTTGCGTCGGTGTAGACTTCTTGACCGGTGTATTTAGACAGTATTTCCAAAAACTGGGTTTTTATTATTTGGTTATTAAATTGTTGTTTTGGAAAGTTTAGTAAGGAGAGGTTTATTTCCGGTATGTCATATGTCCAAGGAGGGATTCGAGGTTTATCGTTTGTAGTGATTTCTGATGGTTTTTTGGTTATTGTTAACATGCTTTTTATTCGGATGTGGAATGGTTGGGATAAGGATGCATTGTTTAGGTACTTGTGATAGTATCTGTTGCTGTAGATGTTATTATGAGAAAAATGTTCTTGGTCGTTGAACCTTTTGATGTAATATCGAGTAGAAAGTATCATTCTTCTAGTTTGAAGTGATGGTTCCGACGCTTCGCATAAAAGGCGATCTATAGGTGTCGTACGGAATGCTCCTAAAGCAATACGTATTCCTGAATGATGTACAGGGTCCAATTTTTTCAGTGTTGTCGGTTTCGCACATGCGTATATGATTGATCTATAATCAATAATAGGTCTAATCAGAGTCCGATATATTCTTAGCAGGCTTTCAGTGTCAGCTCCCCATTCACGATTGGATAATGTTTTTAATAGATTTAGTATGTTTGTTGTTTTATTTTTAATTTTATTTATGTGGGATTTAAAGGTAAGTTTCTGGTCAAGCGTGAGTCCTAATATATTTATGTTTTACGAACGCAATCAAGACTACATAAATGGGTTAGGGCCGGTTGTATAAAGTGTAGTTGTGTTGACTGAAGATTGAAATTGAACCGGCGGCGGGCGGTTGAGTGAAAAATTATGTTGCATGATCGCCGATTTAGCTCTGACAATTGAACTGTCAGTTGGCTCAAACGGCACTCGAAGTACGGATTAGCGAATTCAACCGTCAGTTTATGTTTGTTTGTGAAGTTATATAAATCGTTTAAGGTAAGATTCAAGCATTAAACTTCAAATAATAGTACAGAAACGATATTTATAGATGTCCAAAAAAAGAATTGCGTTTACAGATATAGATGTACGGACGCTTATACACGGTGTCCATTTTTTGAGTGCCACTATGGGGATCTCACTTATTTTAAGAGATAGAAAGTTGGTTAAATGGGGGCAAAGTTGCCAATTTTCGTGCTGAATAAGAATCTTAAAAGACATTTCAAATATCTTCAATAGTTTTGAAGATATCACAAAAAAACGAAAATTTTTGATTTTCGTTTTTAATTTTTTTATGATAAACTAGTCGTAGTAGACATTTCTAATTAGCACATTATTCGGACACTTTTTAATGGAGATTTCAAATATGGCATCCTGTTTTTAATTAGGTTCAAGATGACGGAGAAACACGTGGCAACTTTAGTTTTTCTTATGGGCGCCATATTGAATTTTGACATTTTGGGATTACATCTTTTTTTCTCTTTACAACGATATATCACACATAGTGGTTCAGTATCACATTTTTCCTCAAAATACAATTTTTAATTATTTGAGAAGAGTGCTTTGGAAAAACAAAACGTTCTTTTGTTGTCAACAAAAGTTTGACAGTTTGATCCATCTGTCTGGTTGCAGCGTTGTCAGAGAAGTAGAAATTCGATTTTCATCTCAACCGCTTGCAAAATTGCCTGCTCATATTAATTGGGCCTATCACCATATTGCTGTCTACAATTCTACATCTTTTAAAAGAACCATATTCGCCCAAGTTTTTATGCAGCAAAGAAAAATACCTCAAACTAGGTTGTTGCCCCTCTGGATAACGCTGCAAGTATGTTGCAGCAGTCATGTGGGCATTTCGATGAGAAGTGTAGTAAATTTGGATCATATCTCTTTGATCTGCACTTGAAAAAGGCATTTTCGCAAAACAACCTAAATGACACTACATGAAATAAGTCAACCTTTTGTTCACAATAAAAGAACGTTTTGTTTTTCCAAAGCATTCTCATGTGATACTGAACCACCATGTGTGATATATCGTTGTAAAGAGAAAAAAAGACGTAATCTCAAAATGTGAAAATTCAAAATGGCGCCCATAAGAAAAACTAAAGTTGCCACGTGTTTCTCCGTTATCTGGAGAATTATTAAAAACAGGATGCCATATTTGAAATCTCCATTAAAAAGTGTCCGACTAATATGTGTTAATTAGAAATGTCTACTACGATTAGTTTATCATAAAAAAAAATAAAAACGAAAATCAGAAATTTTTGTTTTTTTGAGATATCTTCAAAACTATATAGATATTTGAAATGTCTTTTCAGATTCTTATTCAGCACGAAAATTGGCAACTTTGCCCCCATTTAACCAACTTTCTATCTCTTAAGATAAATGAGATCCCCATAGTGGCACTCGAAAAATGGACACCGTGTAGATATAGTTTTCAAGTATAAGCATAAGGTAGAATGCAAGAAGACTGACGTTATTACTTGGAGGGAGAAGGTAAATTTGAATATGTAGTAATTGTATATGTAGTAAGTGTTTCCCATGTTTGGGATGCAATTTGGTCTAAAATTGCAAATGAATTTAATTGTGCCGTGATGGACCAAAAAACTGCACAGCAGTTACCTACGACTACGAAGTGCAATACTTTAAAGAAAGAGGCTAGGAAGTATTTTGCTCAACAGTGGCAGCAAATGTATGGTACTGATGGCGGTCCTGCTCAAGCTATGATCAGATTTTCTAACAAAATTTTTTGAAAAAATAAAAGCCATCATTAATTTGTCTATCGAAGGAGGTGACAGTGATGCTTGTAAGAGTGATTTACATATTCTCTTATTACTAATGAGCTTGTGGTAGGCCGTATAGAGACCTCTGAGGCATCTTCATCGGTTGCACAACAAAAAATATCGCTGATGGCGGCAAAAGTTAAAAATGGAACTACTGAGAAAGGTGGATAACAGAAAAATGGAAATACACCAACAGCTGCAAACAATAACGCTTCAAAACGAACACTTGAAATTACAAAATGAACTGTTATCATTACAAATAGATTGTTACGTTCATTTTGGGTCAACGTGACAAAATTACCTTAGATAAGCACACGGCAAGCTCAGGTAAAGTAGAGGTGGGTCGGGGTGAATATGGGGTTCTATACAAACACAAATAAACCAAAAAGGGAAGGAAACAGTAAAAGTAATCCGGATAGGCGCCACTTAGTCTTTGACAAATCTAGAGAGAGAAAGGAATACTTAGTAAAGGGATAAACAAGGCAGACAAAGAAATCCTTGTTATCGTCTTACTAAACTCAAAGGAATGCACAATTATGGGGAAAAACATAAAGAAAATTTGATGTCATAAATGCGGGTGGTTTAATACTTTAATACAATGATCTCAAAATATCACAAATCTGACACTGTAATATGTAGATCTGGTATGTCAAAATGGGAATTTAAAATAATCTCTAATAAAAACAAATGAGAAGCCAACACGTAGCCGGGGAAAGTATTTATCCAAAAGGGGCTTCCGCAGAAACAACGGAGCTATAATCATTAAGTGACTTTCAAACAAAGTAATAATCACAACTCGTTAGTATCAAAAACCAAAATGTAATCAAACGTTAAAAGGGGAAAACGACGAAAACAACTAAATTTACCTTGAACTCCGGTCGCAACCTTCTGAGCTCAGAGGACGCGAAACTGCAAATCTGTAAACAGACAGACACACAAACAAAAAATATAAGAAAGGTAATGATTCGCGTTGCACAATATATCGCATAAGCAATGGTTAACGAAAGACACGAAGGGTTATTCTTATACGTAGAATTGCAATCAATACTAAAAAGAATCAAAAATTCAAATGGCTTTACGACAAAACAAAATTTGGTTTGACTAAGGGTTTGGTTTTTACAATCGGTATGAGATATCAAAAAGTGACATGAAGTCTTAAGGGAAAAAAAATACTATAAAATGTACAAATAACTGAATATCTCTTCAATGACAAAGCAATCTTATCAATTAAAATGAAAGAAAATTACACGAGCAAGTTCGTCAGAGCAAAATATATAACGTTAATTAAA